CTTAAATAGGGTCAGGTTTTAAGGGACATCACCCACAGAAAGAGGCTGGAGAGTGCAGGGGTTAGGGTTCAGCTGCCTGGGTTTGAATCTCAAATTTTATTATTTTTCTTTCCCAGCATATGAATTTCAATTTTTCGCCACTTACTTGCTTGTATACCCTTGGGCAAGTTACTTAAACCTTTTTTTGTTGTTGTTAATCCTTACCAGAGGATGTTTTCATTGATTTTGAGAGAGAGTGGAAAGGAGGGAAGGAGAGAGAGAGAAAGAGAAACATCAATGCGCGATCGGTTGCCTTCCAAACAATCCAGACCGGGGCCAGTAATCGAACCCGAGACCCTTTGGTCCATGGGCTGATGCTCTAACTGCTGAGCCAAACCAGCTAGGGCTACTTAAACCTTTTAAACCTCAGGTTCCATTATAAAATGGGATTACTAATAGTATCTGCTTCCTGGGGTTGCGGGGATGCTGTGGGGTAATCACAGAGAGCCCACAGCATAATGCCTACACACATGCTTGTTCAGTAAATGCTGGTCCTGATCTTTATTTTATTAGTGTGTTGTCAATACTATGCATGTATTGTTTACCTTGATCCCTTAATCTATAACAATATTGGCATTAGGTAACTTTGATTTAAAAATCTCCTGTTATTGTGGTAGTCAGACAGATATGAGCAGAGCAAGGACCATGAGCCAGGTACAGAAAGTCACCGGGGTGGAAAGCCCCAGGTGCCTAGCAAAGGGCAAAGCTGGGAAAACAAGGACCTTGACCCCAGGGTAACCTTTCCTCTCCTAGCATATCGCTGGTTTTGAGATTTAGACCTCCTGAGTGTGGTTGGGACCCTCCCCTGACCTTTCCTCAGCATGTTGCTAGTCATATGGGTTAGACCCCCTTAGAGGGGGAATAAACTAGGGGGCTGGAGAATAGGCCATAAGCATTAAGCCCCCAAGACAATTAGGTTCTGGCCCACAGCAAATACATCTAGGCCTCAGTTGTATTTTAGCTCCAGGCCCAGTAAACTGCAAAACCAGTCAAGTCAAGCCAGGCTGACATCAGGACCAGCTGCATTGACTGCCCTGCCCTGGCACCAACCAATCAGTAAAGATCACAACCCTTAAAGGACACACCTGTAAAGCTGATGCATATTTGATGGGGATCCTTCCCTGAGACCTCCAGAAAAATATCCTCGAGACCGAGGACTGGTGTGGCTCTATGGAGCACACCCTCATCTTTTCCCTCCCCTTCCCTCAGTCTCCTTAACTCTCTCTTTCTCATAAGCTCCAAGGGCCCTTCTTTTGCCTCTGTAACTTATTTCCTGAGCCCTTTTCTAATACAGCTCACTTCTTCTACCTCTGTGACTTTCTAAATAAACTTTCTCTTACAGTTTGAGTCTTGACTCTGAATACTTTCTCAGCTAGAATTCAAGTACTGAGGCTGTTGAACTGAGAGATCCGGTCTGACTTTACTGGTCTAACATCTGGTACTATTTCACTTCGAACATTATTGTACATTTGAGTTCATAAAATTTTAAGTTGACATGGTAAAATAAGCCCACCATAAGCAAAGCCAAAAGACAAATGACATACTGGGGTAAGATATATTTGCAATTTATAACATAAAGATTCATTTTCTTAATATATAAAGAACTACTACTCAAAAAAAATGGACAGCTGTAAAGTTTCCTGTGGTGATATACTTCCACTTAGCACCAGAGTTCATGTCTCTAATGTATATTCAGTACCAGGAAAACCCTAGGTTGGAGAAGGGCTTGGTATACAAAGGTACAGCCATGAGTATATAAACATACCTGAATTTGTTTCATTTCCCCCATAAAATAGGTTCCTCTCAGAAATGTTCTGTTGCTATTAATGGTACCCTCATATACCCCACTGACCGTGTTGTGAACCAAAAAGGGGCCACATCCCAACCTGTCAAGCCCAAGGGAGACCTGCATGGTGGCCTTACAAACTCAGAGACTACGATTAACCACACAGGATGGTCTGAAATTAAAACTTCCTAACTAAAAGGGAGTCATGGTGGGTAGTCATGTCCTAGGCCAGTACTTTCCTTGACCTTAACTGAGCCTGTCGCCTTTTTTTTTAATATACTTATTTTATTTATTTATTTTTTTTGAGAGGAAGAGAGATAAAAACATTGATCAGTTAGTTGCCTCCTGCATGTCCCCTACTGAGAACTGAGCTGGCAACCCAGGCATGTGCCCTGACTGGGAATCCAACCAGGCCCTCTTGGTTCATAGGATGATGCTCAATCCCCTGAGCCACGCCAGCCCTGCTGTCTGTTGTCTTTTTGCAGCTATGATAATGTATCTTTGGAATGTCTACGTAATCTCCTTATTCCAGACCCCACAGCATAGAATTCCTCATTATTACTGTTATTGTGTTAATTGTTAACTATCCTATACCCAGCACTATAAAAGAAGTATTTATCTATTCATTTTACTTTTTATCCAGTCCCAGGGATTTCCCTGCTTTGTTTTTTCCCGCCTGCCTAATCTATCACCAGTGTGTCTCACGTCTTCTCCTTTTATTGTAAGGTATAAAATAAGGTGCAAAACTGCCATTCTTCGGGGCATTTTCACAGTTGTTGTTAGTTTGGTTCCGATAAACTCATAAAAATTTTTACAGGTTTGGATGTTTCTTACGTCAACAGTGTCAGTTATGACTTATCCCATCTGCTTTTCTTACCTCCTTCCCCTCATCTAGAAAATCAATGAACCTTTTCTGTGTTTCATTCGAAGTATTTCACATCTGCTCCAGTCTTTCCAGGCCCACTACTAGTACTTTAGTCAAGAGACACTCAGTATCTCTCTCAGAGTAAACTGCTACTCTGGTCTCCTTTTCTTTTTTTCCCTTGTTCCTTTTTCTAGTCAGCACCATACCCAGATTAATTTTCCTAAAAGAAGGGTTTTCATCTTAGGCCACCAATCTACTCAGAAGCTTTCACCGGTGCCCCCTGTCTAGAATGAAATCTACCTTCTGAACTTGACCCTCAGTAACCCTTAATCTGATTTACTCTCCTTATTTCTCTAGCCTTAGTCTTTCTCACTGCTTCTTTTTAGGAGCCCTCTAAACATCTAACCTGGCTTACTTGGCATGGCCCATCATGCCCATTTCTGCCTCCATGTTGCCCTCCCCCTCCTCTTTGCTAAGTCTTGTACTGTACTCGCTAGGTGAAGTCAGAGGTAGGTCACTTTCCAGCTGTAGCTGTGGTTCCATCACTTGGAAACATAGACTGCTAATCTTTACAAAGTAATTTGTTGAAAGTATTAGGAGTTCCCTTTTTTGTTTTGTTTAATCTTTTATTGCTTCTTTGGTCATGTCTGCTTTGTACCTATAAGGCCTTGGTTTGTAAAATTGTAAATCTCTGTCTCACTGATGGGGCTTTCAGTTCAAATTAATGTTCAGCAAAGGGATTAGCAGATCACCTCTTCGGGCTGTATTTCTTTACATAAAAGGGTGGATATGGTTTGAACAGGCTACCAAAGCCAGGAGGAGGAGTTATTTGTGTAAATCAATGCAGGCAGGAGCTGATCACCTTTCTGAAGGACGAGACAATGCAGCACACAACCTTTAAATAGATCTTTGGGGTCAAGTTGAAGAATCAATATTTACGGGACTTTTATAAAGTTAGCCTTTAATGAACCCCAGGCATTTAGCTAGGCCATTAATTGCAGGGAGTGGAAAGGTGACAGTAGCTGGAGTTCATGGCTGTGGAGGTTGTGTAAAACTAAGAGAAGAGACAGTCACTTGCTGATGTGCAAAGGTCCTCCCCTAGGTTCTACTCAGACATGCTGGGTATGCATTTTGAAAGGCTTTCTTAGGATCTTGTTGACATTTTGAGAAAGAGCAACTCTTGCATACTAACGGAAGAAGGTACACCCTTTGTTCTCTGACACTCCGTAACTAAGCAGGGTGGCTTAATTTTCCTGGGATGACTTTCCATGTCATTTTGGATTCTGCTTTAGAAAGGTGCTCATCACAGGAGCAGGACTCTCTTTCAGAGTTTGGCATATCCCTTCCTCTGACACACTTGAAAGGTTTTTTTTAATTGAATTTATTGGGGTGGCTTTGGTTAATAAAATTATACAGTTCACACTTGAAAGTTTTTTGTTTTTTTTTTTGTTCAGGTAGAGTGGGAGGGAGAGAGAGGAACAGAGAGAGAGAGAGAGAGACATCGATGTGAAAGGGACACATTGAGTGGCTGCCACCTGCACAACCGACCAGGGCCGGGGGCAAACTGCAACCGAGGTACGCGCCCTTAGCGGGAACCGAACCCGGGTCTCTCAGGACCGCAGGCCGACGCTCCAACTGCTGAGCCAAACCGGCCAGGGCCACACTTGAAAGTTTTTAAAGTGAAGAATTGTAGTAAAGAGCATCTACTTTAGGATGCTGGGTTGAATCCAAGTCTAATGAAAGGTTTGTGATAAATGTAATCATTTGTATTCGCTATGTCATCCAATGGAAGTGTTGCCCTGGCTGTTTTGTGTTCTTCACTGGGTCATCAGAATCATTCGTGGGTAAGGAATCTCGTCTTCTATTATTTCAGTCAGTGCTTCTACAAAACATTGTTGACTAGATAAGAGGAATGTATTATATCAAACTTTATTCTGGCTGTAACAAAAGTAGGAGCCTACACAACTGCAAGTCATAGTAGCGGCTTTGTTAGGCCCTGTGAGTTCGGGTGTGTTTGTTACAAGTCCTGGGTCATGTCTGCTCAATAGATATTTTGGAATTAACTTTTCAGACCTCTTTCTCCGGTGCATTTTATCGAGGAGGCCTGAAGATTACCCAGCAGAGCTGCTGTTCTGTTCTCACTCCCACTCCCCACTCCAGGGTCATTTTTGAGAATAAATACTGAAAAGAAAAAGCATGAGAGATTTGTTGAGATTATTCTGGTATTTTTACAAGAGGAGTTAATGCTTAATATTTCCAACTGTAATTTTCTTTAAATGTTCATTCTGGATTTTTATTTTTCCTTTTCAGCTGTTTGAGAACTTCTACTTCGGAACCCTAAAGCTCAATTCAATCCACATCTCTCAGAGGTTCACAGTAGACAGCTTTGGGAACTACGCCTCCTGTGGACAGATCGACTTCTCCTGAGGTGGATCTGGGGGAGCCCTAGAAATTGACCATTTTTACAGGATGCTGAGGGAAAGTATCTTCATTTTAATTGCCAAGGATGGATGTGGAAATTTGGATGGCGGCTTTCCTGGGTGGTTCCCCATGGACTCTAGTCTCTTTGATGGTTGTCCCCAGTCATCTAACTGTCAGCCAAGATGGTTGTGTGCATGTAATCCTTGGCTTGCTCATCTTTTGCAGGGTGTACTTTTCTTTCCAAAGCTCTTCTCTGGAAATGTACTTCTGAAGCCCACTGGAGCTCAGATTCGCATTGTTTCTTAAGTACCTACTGATTTAGCCCCAACCATTAAAGTTGTTTGTATTAATACTTTAAAAGAGAATTAAAGATGTGCTTTCATTAATTTCTCCATCTAGATAAAATACCTGTAATTTTTAGGTTTGCTTTTTCCCTTCTTCCCCTTTTACCCTAAACTGTTTTGTGTGTGATAAAAACAAGCATTTATTAAACACCCACTATTGGCCAGACATTGTGCTAAGGGTATACATATTATTATTATCCTTAATAATCTTATTAAATTATTACACTTACTAATAATAATGATAATACAGTTATTGTTAATATTATCACTGGCAATACAATGAGGGAAGTGCTCATACAATCCCCATTTTACATATGAGGAAACTGAGGCTAGGTTACTAGCTGAAGGTCACGTAACCAGGCAGTAGATAGTGTCAGGATCTGAACCCAGCCAGCTTGGGCTCTTCAACACTATGCTAAGCTGTCCGGCCCCTTAGCAGGGCTAGAGAGAGAACAAGGAAGATGCCTGGCAGACCAGGTATGGAGAGGGAGCCACAGGGTTATCCCAGGACCAAACAGGAAGCTGTGCACTTTGGGTGCAGGACTCACACAGTGCTTTGAGAAACTGGATTCCTTAGGTGTGCTTACTTGTACTCTAAATTATTTATTTTTTCTTAACAAATTTTAAATTGATTTTAAAGAGGAAGGGGAGAGAGAGAGAAACATCGATGTGAGAGAGATACATCAATCAGTTGCCTCCTGTACCCACCCTGACTGGGGATTGAACCTGCAACCTAGGTATGTACCCTGACCTGGAATCAAACCCTAGACCTTCTGGTGCATGGGACAACGTTCCAATCAACTGAGCCACACCAGCCAGGGATGTACCCTAAGTTTTAATCACTACCCAGAATTTCTTTTCTATTGTGGTAAAAAATACATAACATAAAATTTATCATCTTAACCATTTTTAAGTGTACGTCTCAGTGTTGAATAAGTATATTCATGTTGTTATGAAACATCTCCAGAACTTTCTCATCTTGTGTATCTGAAACTCTGTATCCATTAAGCAAGCAACTCCCCATTTCCCTCTCCCTTAGCCCCTGGCAACCACCCTTTTTCTTTGATTTGATGCATTTGACTGCTGTAGATATCTCATAGAAGTGGAATCATTCAGTATTTGTCTTTTTGTTGTTGTTAATCCTCACCCGAGGATATTTTTCCAGTGATTTTTAGAGTGGAAGGAAGGGAGGGAGAGAGAGAGAGAGAGAGAAACATCTATGTGAGAGAGACACGTCTATTGGTTGCCTCCCTCATGACCCTGACCATGGTCAGGGATCGAACCTACCACCCAGGTTTGTGCCTTTGACCAGGAATCAAGCCCTTCGGTCAGCAGGCCGACACTCTAACCACTGAGCAACTGGCCAGTGCAGTATTTGTCTTTTTGTGACTGGCTTTTCCATGTTGGTTCATCCGTGTTGTAGCATGTGACAGGATTTCCTTTCTTTTTAAGGCTGAATAATATCCCATTGTATGTATGTACCGCATTTTGTTTATCCATTTATCCGTCAGTGGACACTTGGGTTCCTTGACCTCTTGGTTTTTGTGATAGTGCTCTATGAACATGCTCTCACCTTTCATCTCCTCCTCCTCCTCACATTCCTTCTCCCTCCACACCCCTCTTTCTCTTTCCTTCATTCCTTATTTTTATCTTGCTTCCTACTTTCTGTTTAAGAGCTTGATTCTGAACCCCGTATGTCAAGGTCACTACATCGTGAGGATGTGTATAACACTCAGATTTGTTTATCACTGTGACTGCGCAGATCACTTGTGAATAAATGAATTTCCAAAGTAACTGTGTTTTTTAGAATTTTCCTATAGTTCTATAGTTTGACCCCTTTAATGTGTGTTTGGGATACGGTGTTGCCATCACTTATTTATGAGCAGAGCTTTATCATTAATTCAGAACTCACATACTGGTGCCTGTAGAATTGGTTTTTCCCAAAGAATTTTGTATTAGTAATACTCATTTTTTATTTAGGTTGAGATTTTACTTGCTTACCTCTGATTGTTAGATGGTACATGGGAATGGGTACTCCCAGGGATAATAATGAATAGGGAAGCTGACTTTGGGGTTCAGTGCCCTCATCTCATCTCGGTACTACTTTTCTCTTACTATTTTCTTTCTGACAACTGCCACCGGGCAACCTTGGCCAGGGGGTAAAGATGTCTTCTTTTTGATGTCAGAGATTTATGACTTATGTTTTTAGTAAATTTTTTAAAAGTTTTGTTCGGAAAATGTAGCTTTATATATCAAATACTAAGTTGTTAACAGAACTGGAAAGTCTGTTATTTAGAATTTAGAAGTAACTATGCATTTAAGGACATATGTATTCAGTATTTTTTTTATAAGTAATTTGTCCTTTTCAGTCTCATTCTTTCACAACTGTACAGTGGATTTTTTCAGAAGCTACATGATGTAGTGACTATTTCTCTGATGGTTAGTGGAGCATGTGCTTAAGTATTTTTGTGTTTTCTAGAATTGCGTAAGTTAATACATATTGGTAGAATTGGAAAATTTTTAATTTATTTTAAATTTTTCTTTCTAGAAGTCTAGACAAATTTTTGAGACACTATAGCTCTAAAGAAAATACAGGTTTAACTGCTGTTGTAGAAGAAGGAGTAATAGGTAGTTGTGATATAGTACTTATGAAAGTACAATGGTAGAGAGAAAATAAATAAAACAATTTTTTTTTATCCTCACCTGAGGACATTTTTGCATTTATCTTCAGATAGAGTGGGAGGGAGGGAGGGAGCAAGAGAGAGAGAGAAACATCGATGTGAGAGAGACACATCGAGTGGTTGCTACCCGCACGACCCCAACTGGGGCCAGGGACAGACTGCAACCGAGGTACATGCCCTTAGTAGGAACTGAAGCCGGGACTCTCTGGTCTGCTGGCCGATACTCTAACCGCTGAGCCAAACAGGCCAGGGCTAAATAAAATTTTTTTTTTTTTTTTTTTTTGAGAGAGGAAGTAAGAAGGAGGAAGGGAGAGAGAGAGAGAGAGAGAGAGAAACAGCCATATGAGAGAGAAACATCCATAGGCTTCGTCCTACATTCCCCTTACCTGGGATTGAGCCTAAAACCTGGGCATGTGTCCTGACCAGGAATCGAACCAGCAACCTTTCAGTGCATGAGACAATGCCTAACCAACTGAGCCACACTGGCCAGAGTACAAATAATTCTTGATGGAGCTAAAAGATTTTTTCAAGATTCAGGGTCCCCTCTCACCAGATGTAATGGGGTAGATATTAGAGGATTTGCTACTGTTTATAATCAGATCTCCCTTAATATTACCATTTCACAATCATTCTGCATTGAAATAGGGTTAAATGCACCTAACTCGCTGCAGCGGTTTTTGAGCCACTGACTTCACCTTTGATTCCTGGAGGAAGAAGAGGGAAAATGAATTCCTCACCCCAGTTATTACACAAGATCTGTATTGTTATATTATGAATTTTGTTATGAAGAATAATTTTGATTTTGGGGGACATAATGAGTTACCCCCAAATGAACTCTGTACCCATGATAGAGACATGATAAATGTTACTTAACATTTCTTTCTTTCTTTAAATATTTTTTCTTTATTGATTTTAGAGAGAGAGAGAAAGAGAGAGGGAGAGAGAGACAGAAACATCAATGAGAGAAAACATTGATCGGCCACCTCCTGCATGCCCCCCACTGGGGATTGGGCCCACAACCTGGGCATGTGCCCCGAATGGGAATTGAACTGGTGACCTCTTGGTGCATGGGTCGATGCTCAACCACTGAGCCACACTGGCCGGGCTTAACATTTCTTTTTAAGTGAGCTTCAGAGTTTGGACACCATTGTGAATCCAGCTTCATCATGAATGCCACAGAGCTTTGTTCAGGTTTACTCTCACACTGTGCTCTTTCCCTGAAGGGGAAGAGAACCTGAAGGCACCCAGATGCACTGCAGTGAGGGCACCTCTCACACACAGTCTACCTTGATGCCTCGGGTCCGGGCAGCCAAGCCCAAGGACGATAGGTGAGCGGAGTGCTGCTCTTTTGTTTGTTTTTATTAATAGCTTTTCCTGTCGTTTTAAATAAAATGTTCTTTGAACAAATATAAACTAAGTTCACGTTGTGAAAAATCATCACGCTATATACACTTTGCTTTTTAAAATGTATACGTTATACTTTAAATATTTGTTAAAAAATAAGTTTCATCATTCAGAGGTTACTACTCCCTATGCATTTAAGTACATATCATATTGTTAAGCAATTTTTCACAAGTTAATAACATCTAATACTAGCTGAACATTCTCATTTGTCATTTGTGTATTAGCTCATTTCATCTTCACACTTCAGTCAGTATTATCATTATCCTCATTTTATAAACTGAGGCTTAACAAAGTTAAGAACTTTGCCAGAGGTCATACAGCTTGTACCAGTGGTTCTTAAAACGTGGTCTGTGGAGCCCTGGGGGCCCATCAGAACCTTTTAGGGCTGTGTGAGGTCCACGCTCTTCATAGAACCAGTGAGGGATCAGTGGCTCTTTCGTTCTCATTCTCTCCCGGGTGTGCGTGGATTTTCCAGAGGCTCCATGGCATGCGTCTTCACCCGATGGTTCAAGCCACATGTGCTTGTATATTTTTGCGTTTTCTAGAATTTTGTACATTGGAACATTTAGGGTATAAATATGTATTTTTAAAGTCTAACTCAGTTTGCTCTCAGTCCTTCTACCGTGATCCCACTAGGTAGTTCAGTTTTAGCTGGGTTGTGTTCCCTGAGAATTCACGTGTGGAAGCCCTCACTCCCGTTTGCCTCGTAATGTGACTGTATTTGGAGATCAGGCCTTTGAGAGGTGGTTAAGTTAAAATGGGGCTGTGGCTGTTAAAGTGGGCCCCAAACCAATCAGACTGGTGTCCTTATAAAAAGAGAACATTTGGATACCTAAATGTCAAGCATGTGCACGGAGAGAAGAAAGACCAGTGTGACACAGCGAGAGGGCGACCATCTGCAAACCAGGAAGAGACGCTTCAGTGAAACACCAAACCTGCCAACACCTTGCTCTCCGA